CTCTGGAATGTGGCGGGGGCATTGGATAGACCGAAGGGCATTCTGAGAAACTCGAAATGGCCATTCTCTGTACTAAACGCCGTTTTTTCAATGTCCTTTTCATTCATTTGAATTTGATGGAACCCACTAGCCAAATCTAAAGTTGTGAAATATTGACACTTCCCTAGCTTATCCAGAAGGTCCGTTATGTTAGGAAGAGGGTATCTATCTGGCATGGTCTTTGCATTGACGCCTCTGAAGTCAATAACGACTCTCCATTTCTGCTTCCCAGAAGCATCTGCTTTTTTTGGGACTACCCAAATAGGTGCAGACCAAGGAGAATTGCTTGGGCATGTAATATTTTGGTCCAGCATTTTCCTTATTTGTGATTCAACCTCTTGCTTATGAATGAATGGGTACCTATATGTTTTTGTATATACAGGCTGTTCATCTGTTGTTTTTATAGAGTGTTTTATTTCGCTCGTGAATGTCAATGGTATATTTTCCTGGTAAAATATGTCCGAATATTTTCTACATAATTCAATTATTTTGGCTCTCTCTTCTGAATTAAGGTGATCTGTGCGAATTCCAGTATAGTCAAAAATATCAGTATCGTAATTTGATGCCACAAAATTATTTAGATCAATTTGTTCTATTTCTTCTCTATTAAATGGTTCCACTTCAATTGGTCGTGAAAGATCTAATATAATTGGCTGACATGTATTGTTCAAGATTGTCGTTAAAGCGTATCCATTTTTTGCAATGCTTAGGGAGTTCGGAATCTCGCAATTATGCATTTTCTGATATGGAATTATAATTTCGCCATCATGTATGCTGGTTTTAATTTTCACAAGCTGTTCGGTACGTGGTGAGAGAGTGATATTATATGCTTGGTTTATGTTCGTTCTTTGGAATTGTAACTTGATTTTTGCAAATGGAGTTACCAAGAATCCTGTTTCATAGTTTATGCTAGCTTGTAACATTTTTATATTATCAAGTCCTATAAGGCCGTCAAAGATGTTATGAAATTTAAATAAATAAAATTTCAAAGGTTTCCTATTACGTAGATTAAAAATTTTTGAAGCGGGAATTTGAGCACTGTATTGATGTGCTGATTGTTGGAAAACAGTTAAAACGATGAATGGCTCATAGCTTATGTGATTTGGAAAGAATTTTTGAGCTAAGTCGGGGTCTATGAACGACTTGGTGGAGCCACTATCTATGAGAAATTTGAGATTGCATTCAGGAAAGACGATATAGGAGAGCTCACTTGCGTTGACGTTATTGAATGAAATTATTTCAGGTGATTCTAGGGTGCAGGGTTGGTTGACTGAATTTCCTGAAAATTTGATTGTTCCGAAGAACCAGCTGTGTCGTATTCTACGAGTTCAGTGGTTTGGAATTCATTATTTGAATCGTTATAATTATCGGAATAATTGTAACTTTGTTGAGGGTCAACTTCGGTCTCATAATAATATGATTCTTGATCATTTTCGGTGTAAGAAAGGTCAGTGACATTCGTCGTATTTGTATTATATAATTCTTCTGAAATAAAGTTACGTGGTTGCGTAACTTGGAAATAGTTATTACCAGAAGTTCGTGGTGCATTGGTAGCAGAATAGGTTTGTCTTGTCGTTGTAGACATTGGGGTAGGTCTAGGAAAATTTTTGTTTTGACCTGGTTTAAATACATTGGTCTGATTTTTATTTTTAAAGATCTGTGAGTTAGTTGGGAATTTTTGTTGTATTTTATTATAATCAGGTCTCACATGAATAGGTTGAGATGGAAATTTTTGTTGATTGAACGTGTTATTTGGTGTATTAGCATTAAATGTGTTGGAATTATTGTATCTTTGTTGTGTATTTTGTTTGAAGTGCTGTGAGGGATGTTTTTGTTGAGTTTTAGCTATATTCTGAAAATATTGTGTATTATATTCCTGTGTGACAAACTGTAAAGCTTCGGGAAGGTCTTTGGGACGCATACACCTAATTGTTGTTCCCAATGGTTCCCTTAAGCCTGATAAGAAAGTTTTAAGGGCAAGATCATTGTATAAGTTTCGCTTTAAATTTTTCGCATTTTGGTCAACTTCATGACTATTTACATAAGAACAAAGCAGGTTTAAAATATGCATAACCCTGTCATAATATTGACTAGGCTTTTCTGAGTTTTGTTGTCTCAACATTACGAGATCTCTGTTTAAACATGCCTCGTCTCTTTGATCTGCGAAATGCCTGCTCAAAGTTAGTTTCAAATTATCCCAAGTAGTAACATTTTCAGTACCTAGGATCAATTTTGCGTTCCCAGTTAGTTTTCCGATGATGCAATTTATCAAGTAAATATTTTGAAAATGGTTTGGTTGATTTGCATCATAGAAATTATCAATTAAACTTTGGCATACTGCCAAATATCTATTCAAATCGTTAGGGTTACCATCGAATTGTGGTACGCAATTTAAGTACTCAGGTTTAAATTGAGCCATATTGTTAATTGTATTAATATTATTTAAAATTAAATTATTTTGATTAGTGCTTGTATCAGTAACTGCAGCACTGTTATTTAATGTTTGATTAATATTTCTTATAAACTCTTCTGTATCAGAAGGTGAGTCAGTTGAAGGTAGAGATAGAGATAATAATCTTTCTGTTAATTCATCAATATCAGACATTAAAGAAATTACAAATTGCACATTGCACTTACATGAAGATTATTCTGTAGAGCAACATTTATAAGGCCAAGAATTTCTGGTAGGCTATGTTTATCCTTCCAAATTAAATCCTGGTCTCGCGAATATTGGCTGTTTTGGTCCAATAATCCGATTGCTTGAAGGCAGTTCTTTGGTTTTCAATTTCGTAAAGCCACTCCGACACTTCTCGCAAACACTTAACACGATTTTCACACAAGGGTGTAGATTCGAGTTCCCGGTTAGTCCGATTTCCGAAAAGTTCGTAAACCAGTTCCAAAAACAAAAAATCCGGACGACTGCGCCAGTTATCAATACGTAGGCCGATAACAAGTTTTTAAAAAACAATTTATTCACTAAATTACAATAGAGAAATACTTTCGCGTTACGCGTTACAAAGTTTCAAATAAGAAATATAATTACAATTCAACTGACTAACTATTCTAGGCGGGCAGCGATATTTATAATAAAGAAAAGCGAATTAAGCAGTTTATATGAATGGTCAGCAAATAGAGCTGACATTACTAGTAGAAAGTTATTGAAAATTTAACTTGTTTTTACAGAAAGCCTTATTTCATTTTAAACAATGTGTATTCCTTGTTTCTCCTTTGAACAATGCAATTATTTATCTACAATGTCTATAAAAATCGAAGAAGGCCAATTATTTTATGGAGGAACGTTAGAGCATACTATTATGATTTGTCATAAAATAATGGTTTAGCTATATAGAGAAAAATGAAGAAAAGCAAACTTTGAAAATGCCGATGTTTCAAAAAATAAGGAAGGATTGAATTATATAACATTTTTATAGAAAATCTCATCGATTTAACAGTTTTCAGTTCAACTAGGAGCAGTTCAGAATACGCAAAACTATTCTAAAACTTTTGTAAACAAGCTTCAAAAGTGATCCAGGCAAATGGGCCAAAAATTATCATTATTCTCTCTTTCTCCATCGATTCTATTTTCATCGAAATATCTACGAGTGGAAATGCTTTTTACGGAAACGCCTCATCCTTTCAATGTATTCGATTCGTAAGGGAAACCGACATTTCCACTTCCAATGATTTCAAATGGAAAGTAGAAAATTGTCGTGATGGCCATGAATGAGAAATGTGGGGATTTAGGTATTTGGTTTTTCTATGAGCTTGGGCTGTTCGAAACAAATTAGAAGACAGATAAATATGAAAATACCTACTTATACTCAACTGTGCATTGAGCTTTTTAAAAAATCAAAAATAGATATTGAAAATTCAGTTGGTCGACACCTCGGTCGAAACCAGGTTTAATCGAGAGAAGTCAGCAATATATAGTAGGCGAAAATTTTTGAAGGTTATTGTTATTTTATAAAGTGTTTAGGTTCTTGCTGGGTATTTCCAATATTTCTAAACATGAAATGATTACTATGATTCCGAATTTATCAACATTTTACATCATAAATAAGTAAAGGGAATTTTACTGTTACAATTTTCTAACTAGAAGTTTTCATTGATTAGCCTAATATCCTAGTGTCCTTTTTGGTTTATTATAAGTCCAAACAACTACCTGTTAATTTAATGGATTCGTAAATCAATAACATTTTATTTCCCAATCCACAACTCTTACATCTTGAAATATTTCGAGTCCCTCTTGTGCTGGGCTACTTTGATATATGTAGTAAGTATTACTCTCCTAGAATAATATTTGCTTTGCCATTTCTAGTTCTCTTCGGACTCGTTCGGTCCAAGTGCAAAGATCACGTCGTCCAACAATACTAACTCCGAGTTTCTGCTTTCCATTCTCTACATTGTCGTTATGACGCCTGCAGGAAATACGATAAGGGCTTGTTAGTTAAATCTGTTTGTGTTTCACCAAAGTAGGACTTCTTGGGGATTAACTGGCGTGGAAAACTTAGTCGGTTTTTATGTTTCAATGTCCTCAATATTTTCTAGGAATGTAAGTTTTTCAATTCCCGGAAAAAAATAACTACCTATTTACTTTTAAAAATAAACAATATAATATCATAGTATATCAAATTATGCGTGGATATTACCTCCTGCTATCTTAAATTTTTCATTTAATTTTCTGGCCTGGAAACTGCCTGGGCCCATAACCTGTTGTATTTTGTTTTAAAGTAATTAAACAACACATCACGTTTCCAAACATCTTTTTATTTCTCATTTCCATAGAAAAACCAACATATCCTTCTCGATTAATTATTATAGTATATTCTAGGCACATTTGATTTAAAAACCAACTCAATTATAATTTATGCTCTTAAATTTAGAGATTCTTTTCCCAACATTGAATAAAAATTTCAATGGCGAGTCTCCCAAACTAGAATCGACTATTTTTATACATTTACTGATATAGTCAGCCATATATTTCTCATTGTTTTGTTTTGATTCACTACCATTATTCAAAATAATAAACTTATTTGTCAGTCGTGCCAATTTTAAATGTACTGATCTAAACGCTTCATCTAAGTCAAATAATTCCAAACTTGGAAGAGGCAATCCTGTGAAACTTGGTGGAAATACTGCAGCTTGCAATGCAGGGTAGGGAACTTCAAATTTTGGCGGAATCATTTTCAAAGGACCATGCTTGACGCCTAATTCCTCATATAATTTAACAGTTCCAAGGTTTTTTATTAAATGGAAACTATGTTCGAATAGTTTTGCGAAGTTAACACTAGGGCTGTTACTAACGACATCTGTAAGACAAAGCTTAGCTTTTTCAGCTAATTCAGCAGTTTCAGGCACGATATTTCCATCAGTAATTTCAAGATCATCACAATCCGGTGATAAGTTAATATTTTCTGAATCGTTCAAATATTCCAATAGCATTTCACTAAACAAATCATTATTTTCTTTATTGAGATAATTGTCATTGAACATGGCTTTTGAACCAATAGCTACAAGCTTTCCTCCACTTTTTTCATTACAATACAAAGCACCCAAAGGAGAATTTATTGGAAACGATGAAACTCCACTTTTGAAACAAATAACACTGGGCTTCATTATATTCATGCTACATCCAAATGGATAAACCAACTTAAAATCAAAATTATTTTTATTTATTGTTGCATTTATTTGACTATCGGCAATGTAGCACTCTTTTGGGTGAAAATATTTATAATAATGAGAACGAATTACACAATCATTGTTAGGAACGATACCAAAATGTTCCAGAAAAATGTTAATGTTGCACTTATTATTTTGAGAGCCTTCGGTGAGAAGCACCAACATTTGACCACCTTCTTGAACATAATTTTTCATAGCTTCCAGTTCAGCTGCTTCAAAACACGTTTGGGAAGTTGGTAATATTAATAGATTACAGTTTTTGAGTAAATCTGAAGTTATTTTGCTTCGGTTTAGTATCACTTTTGAAACTAATTTTAGTTTCCGGTAAAAGCTCTTGTAGTTATCGATTAATACCTGATTTAAAGTGTTGAAAAGTACTACTTTTTCACTATAAGTAATGTCCATTTTGGAGTTTTGGTACAAACCATAAAAAGTTGCTTTTTATTACGACTTGAAAGATTGGGTTAGAAATACCATGTGCAAAACGTCAAAACGAAGCTGGTTCCGGTTTTAGGTATTGGCGCATTTTTTATACCTTGTCTTTTTTTCAGAATGGGTCTTTATCTGAAAACAGAGTAGGTACATCACTGTAATTCGGCTACAAAACATGTTTTTCTAATTTTGACGTAGGGACCTATAAATTGGCTTTATTTGAATAAAACCCATTGAAGTTTTGATTTCACTCACTTTTCCAAATTATTTAGTTACCTACTAATAAATGGTGGTGAAAAGTAAGTATGTATTACATTTTTGCGAAATTAAAAAGATGTTGTTCTATTACATTCACATTGTATTGCAACGGCCGCCAGTGTGTCAAGAATCGCATAGCAGATTCGAGATTTTACGTGATGTTCGGGAGCAACGTCGATCGCGGTTCTTCTGGAATTTACAGGAATAAATTACGGCTATATATAAGGACGGGTTTTAGCTTGTAAGTTAAGTTAACTGTGTTGACTGTGATACGAGTTAAATAGTGATTATTGAGTTATAGAGTTTAATTGTTGAATTAGTTATTAAAGTAATTAGTGTCAGAGTTATTGTTACGTGGAATAAATTATTGCTTTGTTAATTGGACTTTGATTTTTGGAATAAACGAAACGAACCCAAGATTTCTGTCAAGCAATCCAAAGCCGTGACAGTATTTATAATATTCAGTATCGGTATTTTCAAATTCATTGTTAGGGTCTGTGTACCCCCTTTAGAAAAAACAGGTCACAGTTACAGGTAAATTGGTGAATCTATATTTTATGAGTGATTTTCACAGGTAGGTATTATATTAACCTTCGATCAACACTATTGAGAAGGTCTTTGGAACTCAATTTCCGAGAAAATTAATTAGTGGGTACCTTATTGTAAGGTACAAAAGGCAATGGCACTAACTGATTTTGGATTAGTTTAACATTAGTTAACGGTCAACAACAAGTAGTGGACGTGTTTTGCATTTTCTTGAAGTTTTGTGAAATTTCTACAATATGGTAATAGAGCTTCCACCAACTTTTGTAAGTACACAATCTGCCTCTATAAATGTATACGTAGGTACATGGTGACCCGTTTATTTTGTCCTATCTGGGTACATGGAAATCTAGATATTTTATGATAAAAAGTTTTATACAAAAGTTGTAGGATTTATTTAAATCATTAATTTGTTTTTTTTTTTGTATTTGCACATATACAAGGGATGTCAAAAAAGTGACACATCAGATTTAATTTTTTTCAATAGAACACCCTATATATTTTTATATTTTTTGATATCGCGTATTTTTAATACCCATTTAGAATAACCCTATCCTTATTTATCAATCACGAATTAGATGAAACAAAAAATTACCAACAAAAACGAATGTCAATTGCTAATACGTCAAATTCATATACAAATAGGAAATTCCTAACCTAATTCTATTTGTCTGTTCAAGAAGCAACATACGTTTAGTCACTAGAATCTAAGCACTAGAACAACTTTTTCTTCTAAATAGGTATTAAAAATTCTATATCGTCTACTTTGTCGCCTAATTGTCAAAAATAAGTTCATTCAGTTTGTGTTGCGGCGTTGCCAAACTTTGAAAATTCGTTCTTTGTCGTTGTTCTTCCATTTTTTTAAATGGCATACCTGTATATTGAATGTAGGATGAAAAGTAATATTTTTGATTTTACGGTATTAGTGCATAGAAACCTTTTTGGTGAGAAAAACATTGGCAATCAAACTTGCAAAAAATATACAGGGTGCTCCATTAAAAAAAGTCAAACTGTAAAAATATCTCGAAACCGCGAGTTTGCCAATATAACCGATTTTGTAACTTATAAATAAGTGAGTTATTTTTAGCAATAGTGCCGACACTGCCGACATAATTTCGAATACCCTGTATAATGTCTTGTACAGAAAAAGCTTGTTTTAAAGAGTACTTTTTATCCCACATTTAATATACATCGAACAACGAACGTTTTCGAAGTTTGGCAACAGCACAAGACAAACTGAATGAACTTATTTTTGACAATTATTTGAGAAAGTAGGCGATGGGTATGTGTTTCCCTTTGGTCAAAGTCCAACTAAAATATTTATTTTTAACTTTTCTACAATAATCTAAAAATTGACCTTTCCACAAAGATAATTGTGAATAAGTCAGAAACCGTGCATAACAGCCCTATCAAACTATATATTATATTCAATTTGTCTTTGAAAGTGCTAACAAAAATATAAAAATATACAGGGTATTCTATCAAAAAAAAAATCTGATCACACTTTTTTGACACCCCCTGTATATGCGCAAATACAAAAAATAAATTAATGATTTAAACCCTAAAACTTTTATGTAAAACTTTTTGTCATAAAATAATTAAAATAGTATTTAGATTTCCATATACCGAGATAGGTCAAAATAAATAGGCCACCCTGTACAGGGTGTTTCAAATTCGAGCTACATCATTGGGATCTCGGAAACGGTGAAAGGTGAAAGTTACAAGGTTAAATCACGGCATAGTTGCGTAATTTGATACTTAACAAAATGCCGCCTTGAGATTTAGAATATTCTGAATACTTCCGTAGATATCCGGAGGAAACCGAAATTTTGCATTTTTATTTATTTTTTCTTGACTTTATTTGAAGTGATATTCCAAAACAAAATATCAATTCATCATAGCCACTTTTTCTCCCCTACAACTTCAAATTTAAAATCTGACGTTTCGTCTTTGGGACACCATTACCAACTTTGTTTTTTGAAATACGACCCTGGATTTTTTATTTCAGATTTTTAGACCTTCTGATGTCCCAACATTTATGACTATCGCATTTATTCGAAAATAGTTATTTTTGTATCTAGTATTTCGCGCCCGAGTTGCAAACAATATTTTTAATATCTATCATTCGAAGCTAAAATTGCATTTTCAAATAAAAGTAGGTAGGGGAGAGTGGGTAACAGTGGATCATTTTTTTTTTCTAACTCATACAGTTCCAAAACTTATCGCTAAATCACTGTTTTCTCAAATCAGTTGTACGAAGAGTATGTAAGACTTAACAGAAAAAATTATTTGATGGCGAATATAACATAAATTTTCAACATATAGCCTTTGAAATAAAAGTTCGTAAAAGATCCAATGTGGCCCAGGAGTGGGTCAGTTTGGATCGGTGCACGAGGAACAGTGAATCAACTGGGGCACACTGAATATATGGAAATAAATACAGTAAAATATTATTGTTTTCATACTATAACTCATTTATTTCTACGAGAATACAGTCCTTGATCAAATCAATTTTTTTAAGGTCTTATACAGAACTTAGCAAAGATTCTGAGTTCATCCAGCCACATTGTGTAGCTAGGCCTAAGCGCCTAAGGTTCCAGCCGGAGCATCCGCGATCATGTTGCTTGAAATGGAAATGCACTCTAGGAAATATTATTACTGATGGCAATGCATTCCCCAAAGCGCATATTCCGCATGTTGCTAAATTCACCAAAATGGTGCACCGCGACCGCCACGGATGCGGTGATTAAAATTCACTAATGCCAATGCCAAACCACAGCTTGTCAAACTCTGTTTAATTTAACAACAGTGCTTGTTCTACCCAGTGTTGCCAGAATATTTTTTCGCGTCGTACTAAACCAAACCCAAAAACGTACAAATCCTATTAAGAGTACAAATTTTTTGTGTAGTGTTGGTTGGCCAACATTAACCTTAAGTAATGAAAATTTTGACAGAATTCAGTTTCAGCAGACCTGCAGACCATAACCTTTAAATTTCATTAAAAAAAAAATTATTGTTCAAACCATGTTCAAACAGATCACAGTCCACATAGTAAGGGAGACGACCGCATTTTTCCTACCCCGATCGAGTTATGTGTCGACATCATTATCAATATATAGTATTATGTGCATCTATTAACCGGTATTCCTGCCTGAGAGCAAATGCTGCCGAAAATATATTTTTAACAAATTATTAACAAATTGAAAAAAACGTAACACTACCCCCGTCGAGTTATGCCCTAAGTAGGGTATCAGATTGAAGGTCTCGATGTCCCCTATCTAAAAAGTCGATCCTGCCTCGTGAGAACTTGCCTGAAAAGGGTGGCAGGGCAGCTTATTGGGGCAAGGGCCCGCGGTCTCAGCTTTGACACCTATCAAGTTTTGCACTAAATGATGTGTCAAACTAAAGGTGTCAATAAGTTGATTTAAGGTCTCTTCGCAGTTCGCACAGAAATCCCAAACCAGAAAGAGTTAATTTCATTGGTTGAAACTAGTTTCCTGACTGTTTCCAGCCGTAATCACGTGACCGGTGAGCGCACAGAACAGTTAAACGCTGTATCAGAGGTCTCGAAATTTTAATAAACGAACGTGAATGAGCCTGCACCGAGTACACTTTTTTAATAAACGAACGGTAAATTTATGCTCGGAGAACTCAGATCAAAATACCGAACCCACGGTATATAGAGTGGCAAAAAAGTAGCGCATAATAATACCTGTGTAACTTTTTGTATGAAAAAAGGTCCTAAAAAGCTAAGGGCAGGTATTATAAAACTGCATTGACAGTTAACTTGAAGTTAACTTTTTGAATTACATGTAATTCCAGAAGTTAACTTTAGGTTAACTCTCAAAGTAGTTTTATAATACCCACCCTAAAGGTTGTATGCACTGCACTACTTTTTTGCCACTCTGGTCTCTGGTCTGTATTGTCGCAACTTTGGGTTGCCTGCTGACAAAAATCTTGGGTTCGTTGTTCGTTTCGTTTATTCCAAAAATCAAAGTCCAATTAACACAGCAATAATTTATTCCACTTAACAAAA